GATGCTTTTATGTTCAATGATCTCCAGACTATTGCATGAATGGTTAGAATGAATGCTTTTTGAAATCAATTGAGAGTATTGGGATGTTAGTTCATTCTCTGCAAGCTTCCTGAATGCACCTCTGGAACAATTCCAAGAAGAATAAGGAAGACAGCGATGATATATACTTTATATTCTTTCCACCCAGTTTTTATTTCTTCTACTAAGTCTTTATATTTTAAAAGCTTTTCATTCCATGTAGCTTGGAGATCATTCATGATATTCTGTATGGCAGTAGTTACAAAAACATTGTTCTTAATTTTTTATGGATAAATACTATTCTCAGGAGATTGTGAGAAATACTTTTGCCTATCCAACAGTTTATCTGCTGCATTCTCAAGGATATTCTGAGATCTGTATTTGTAGTAAAGGGATTTGTCATCTGTTAGTTTACGAAAGACAGTGAACTTCTAATGTATAATTATAGTCACTAAGTCACATCTTTTTTTGGTGAGGCGATTGGGGTTAAGTGACTTGCCCAGGATCACACAGCTAGTATGTGTTAAGAGTCTGAGGCTGGATTTGAACTCAGGTCCTCCTGACTCCAAGGCCAGAGCTCTATTCACTATGCCACCTAGCTGCCCCAACTAGGTCATATCTTATTAGTTGTTTCAGAAGAGCTGAATTTTTGCAAGCTGCAGTGACATGTTTTTAATAGTTTATTACTTTTATTTTTTCAATTAACAAGCATTTAAAAATGAATCTGTCCCTCTTATCCTTTTCACCTTTAGTAAAACAAAAGAAAACCAAAAAAAATCAAAATAAAGTCTACAATACAGTCACATAGTCTGGCAAAACAAATTCCCATATTAGCTATGTTTGAAAATGTATGATAATAATAACAGCAAGCATTTACAAATTGATTTAAGGTTTATGAAGTACTTTACAAGTATTATCCTTACAATAATCTCAGGAAGTAGATGCTATAATTATCCCCATTTTGCAGACAAGGAAACTGAGGCAGACAGAGGTTAAGTGACTTGCCCAGGGTCACACTGCTAGTGTCTAGGACAGGATTGCTTGCTTACTGGGGGGGGGGGGCTTGTGTTCTAACCATTGTGCTATCTAGTGGCCTTATGACCTTTCCGTGAGGAGGTGAGCGGTGTGTTTCATCTTCATTCTTTTGGCTTCCTGGTTTATCATTACATTGATCAGTCTTTCAAAGATAAAGTCTTTCAAAACTGCTTTGCTTTTCAATGTTCTCACTGTATAAATTATTATACTCTTTATGCTCACTTCCCACTGCATTAGGTCATAGAAGTATACCTACTTTCCTCTGAAAATGTCCCTTTCATAATTTCTTATGGCACAATAACATTCCATTACATTCACACACCACAACTTATTTAGCAGTTCCCTTAGAGATCACTCCCTTAGTTTCCAGTTTTTGATTATCACAGAAAACGCATGTGCAGCTGTAGGTTGCACAGTTTCTGTTTCCTTGCATAAACTTCGCTGATCAATAACTCTGGCCTCCTTAAGGATAGATAACCTTCTTGCAGCTTCTGGTGGCAATATCTTGGTCTTGAATAGCTAGGACAGACTCCTTTGTTTCTATCAACATTTCCCCTCTGCTGACACTTCTTTGTCCATTTGTTATTAGCTGAATTCAGAAGAGCATTGCTCGTGAAGGGCCTTTGGGTGCCACTCTTGAACCTCACCATTTCATGCACTCCATTCAGAAGTAAACCAATTTCAGTTAAATTTGACAAGTAGTGTTGTGTACCTATTGTCAAGCTTTATCACTGCTCTGTGAAGTAGCGTCTGTTCAGAAGTATTTCTCTAAGCTTTTAACCTGTGATGTCCTCTAGGGCCATATATCATTCTTTGTTATCATTATGACTATCATTATTGTTATTACAGGGAAAGTTGTTAAATGTAAGGAGCTCTAAGGCAGCTAGGTGGTGCAGTGGATGGAGCACTGGCCCTGCAGTCAAGAGGACCTGAGTTCAAATCTGACCTCAGCCACTTGACACTCATTAGCTGTGTGACCCTGGGCATGTCACTTAACCCCAATTGCCTAAAAATTTAAAAAAAGTGAGGAGCTCTTATTGATTAAGGAGGTGGCTGATTACGAATATGGTTTGTTAGTTCCTGGGCTTGATATCATTTACAACACAACGTTTTTCACACTCTTTCTAGGGAATGCCTCTTCCAGGCACACACTCCGTGCTGGCCATCCTCTATGTCAGTGGCAAACATATTATGTGAACATATAGCTCCTTGTTTATGCCTCACTCAGCAACTTCATAATCAGAGGGTCGCCGAACAAAATTATCTCAGCAGTGTGTCCTTCAAAGAATCTTAAAAGATTTTAACATGCATAAGAGAGCTTGTTGGAGGAAAAGCTTTCAAAGTAACATTTTGTGGAGTGAATCATACACTTTTTTATAGTCAACAAAGAAGCACATGTCTTCTTTGGACATTTCAGTCACTGTATGACTATGAAGATATGGTTTACCATAGAGTGTCATTTTCAAAAATATGTCTATTTCCTGCTCAGATACATTTGTTATGTGTATCCATTATGCTCAAAAAGATTTTGTCTACAGGCTTAAGGGTCAGTAATTATTAATATAATTTCTCAGTTTCTTTTTTTGTTAACGATGATATCTATGATTTTCCAAGTGTTTGATACCTTTCCCACTTTCTTTGAGAACAGAGCCATCAACGCACTCACAACTGTGCCGCCTACAGCGCACAGCTCCTCCACGGGTCACTGGTCTGGCCCAGCTAATAATCTTCTCTGTTTCTACGGTTTCATGAAACACACGGGAGACTGCAATGCTAATGTGGTGGCTCCACATTAATGACGAAGTAACTGGTTATAATAATCCTGTCTCATCTGTTCTTTGTCCTCCGAGTTCAATCCTTAAACACTCTCAGAACCACCAGGCTTAACGAGGTCTCTTGACAAGCTTTCCATCAGTCTGTTTTTCCTTCCATTGCTTATTGCTCTTTTATGAGATGATACTGCCCATAATTCTCTGCCATCCTCCTACCTAAACTTTTGTGTTTATATTCTAAATTGCTTTTGCCTTTGTCTTCCACATCAAACTGCTCTGCAAAGAAATTAAGCGTTTTGTCACTAAAGCAGTTCCTAGGCAGTCTGGTGAAACTTACGGACCACTTCTCAGAATAACGTTTTTAAATACATAAAATAAAATACATAGGATTGCAAAGGATACAAATTATACTGAAATAAAGACATAACCTTTTCTTATCTAAGTCCACGGACTCCCTATGATCTACTCACAGAACTCTCGGGTCTGGGGACACTATTCTGGACTACTGTGCCGTTGTTTACGCAAGTTAAAATTCCTTAGGAAATGGTGATTGTGTGAATGTCTGTTCCTTAATTTAGTGTCAATAGCTTGTATAAGCGAGGTTGCTGCTGATTTAATTGTACACTGTATCTTCTCACTTTCATTCTTTCTGATTTCGCTCTTTGACCTACAAGCTGACGGTTTCGCCGTCCACAGAAAGCTGACTCAGAGATAATTTCTGCGTCAGTAGCAGCCGCTTCTTGTCTCTTACGATATAACTGATGTCATTTGTATGATGCGATTTGGTGTTTGCCATTTAGTGCTATCTTCCAGAAGAATTTATTCATGATATACAGGTGTCAGGCTTTGGTACAGTATATAAACTGTTAGCCTCTCTTTTCCTCCTCTTGAGCTATATTTTCAACCTTTTTTTTTCCATTCTGATGTGTTCAATTTTTTGTTTCTTTTTTATTAATTTATTTTGATTTATCAACAATCACTTCCATAAGCTTTTGAGCTTTAAATTTTTCTCCTTTTCCCTCTCCACCTCCTTCCCCGAGATGCCACACAGTCTGATAGAGGCTATACACATATGTTCCTATTAAACATATTTTCACATTAGTGATGTTGTAAGGAAGAATGAGAACCAATGGGAGGAACCACAAGAAAGAGAAAACAAAACAGAAGAAAAAAATAGCAAATAGCAAATAGTATGCTTCGATCAACAGTCTTTTTGCCCCCTTCCCTCATGTCGCACATTTGTTTGTAAGTCAGTCATATTAAAAGCACGTATTAATTTAATTGGGAAGGTCTCAACAAGTTCTTTGTAGAATTTCTATACCTCTTCATCCTCTCCAACAGATGTTAGCACAAAAGCTCTGATCACCTTTACAGTGATTTTTTTTTAACCAATGCTCATTAGTATAATGAGCTCATTTTTATGCTACTTATAAGCACTGTAACATGATGACCAGGCATCCGTGAAATAATATTTCTTATTGCCTTTGCACACACAAGTAAACCAACTCCACCAATTCCTTTATATGCCTCTCCTTGGAAGACTGATATGCCATGCTTCCATTTAACAGCAACTTCTCTGTGTCTTCTGCTTTCATTTATGGCTGCTTGCTGGTCAAAGAACAAGGACCTTACATTCAGAGTACCAATAATTAAACTAATGTTTATAGATAATCTAAAAATGTGGTTCTGACCCCCTTCTGCCTCTTTTTATATAATTCTGCTACTGTCATTGCAGAAGTAGGGGTGGCCCTTCTACCATTTTGCATTTTTCTTTGTGTCATGCGTTGCGATAGCCAAAGAAGTCAATCCCAAGTGGACAGACTAGTAGTGATGAACCTCTTCATAGTTAGCTAGGCTAGTCCTCAGAAGGCAAACAGTCTGTAACTGAGACTATACTTGAAGCCTTTCCAGCATAGTGGAAACTACTGCTCTCATCCCCTTTAAAAGCTCAGTCATCACCAGATTACAATGGACCCTCAGAGTGGGATTTTGTGCAGGAACCTAGCTTAATTGCCTCTCCACCTGGTTAACTTTCCTCACTGTTTAGTGGTAAGACGCTGCCTTCCTTTCCTAAGCCTTAGCTGCTCTGTCTTCCTGTTTGTGGCACAACTGGAACCCATCTCAGGCGTGACCATTCTCAAGCCCTCGGAGGAACCTTCTCCTGGTTCTACTCACCACAAAAGGAAGGATGCACTCATGTCGACTCTGGACCACATACATGCTGAACAAGGGCACTCGGGTAGGGCCTTCCAGGCTGCAGGCTAGAGAGAAGAAATTCTGCAGAGCCTCACAGAGATTGGAGCAGACCCTGGCCCATGAGGGACATGCAGCATCCACAATGAGAAGGCGGGGAGGCTGTTGCCACACATGTGCTAGGCTGAGAGGTCCTTGGCTAACAACATGGCCCCGATGCATGGTAGCCAGACCACAGGTGAAACTAATGCTGATTTCTGTTGTCCTCTTTGCCCTGTAGGGAAGGAAAGAGAAAATCTCTAGTGTCCAGAAAATATTAAAGGTAACTAACATTTAGTTAATGCTTACCATGTTCCAGCATTGTGCTAAGTGCTTTACAATCATTATCTCATCTGATGCTCACAACAACCCTGGGAGGGAAGTATTATTATTATTCTCATTTTTAACAGATGGGGAAACTGAGGAAAACAGTTTTTTTTTTTTAATGACTTGCCCAGTCAAGTATCTGAGGCAGGATTCTTGATTCTTGGCTCTATCCCCTGCACCACCTAGTTCCCCCCTGAAAACAGAAACACTGGTAGCATGCCACAGATCTAGAGGTCCAATCCCAGAATAGTTAGATAATTTTAGGGGTCATCCAAGCTTGGTCATTCAATACACTTTTATGAACTTCTTTTTATACAAGGCCCCACGTTAGTTTCTGAAAGACCTTCCAAAAAGCAAATTCAATCTGTCTCAGCTGAAGAGTTCAATTTATACTTACTTTCCCACCTTGGGGTCTGAGAGGCCATCTGTGAGACTGAAAGTCAGAGAGGACAGTGAAAGAATTTTTGTATTTTCCTTCCTCTTGTGTGTGGGAGAGGGAGGGGAGGGAGCATGCTTCCTAAGGGGAAGATGAATTCTTGGAGAACCAAGTCTGGGAGAGAAATGTGGAAGATATACTGTGGGTGGAACTCTTGTGGTGAACTTACAGGAGAACGTGAGCAAGACATGGTTAAGAGTTGACAGGAGAGGCAAGCAAGGAAGGGTTGTGATCTGTATCACTGTGAAATGTAAAACGTTAATACCACACTAACTCTTAGCTGGGCAGCGAGGTGGCACAGTGGATAGAGCATCAGCCCTGGAATCAGGGGGACCCAAGTTCAAATTGGGCTTCAGACACTTACTAGCTGTGTGACCCTGGGCAAGTCACTTAACTCCAATTTCCTCCCCCCCCCCAAAAAAAGAGACTTTTGGGCACAAATGTCAGAAACTATTTTATTTATTTTATCATTTAATCTAATATTTAAGTCATTTCTAGATTAGACAGATAAGAAGAAAATGGCATAGTGATCCTATGATTTCTGACACAACTCTATCACCGAGATGATTCGAGGTAACATTTACAGGAATCACAAACAAGCAAAAGATGTGAAAATACAGTTCTCGGGGCAGCTAGGTGGCACAGTGGATAGAGCTCCAGCTTTGGAGTCAGAAGAACCTGAGTTCAAATCCGGCCTCAGACACTTGACACTTACTAGCCCTGGGTGACCCTGGGCAAGTCATTCAACCCCATTTGCCTCACCAAAAAAGCAAAAAGAAAATACAGTTTTTGAGTTAACATTCATTTCAAACAACAGTCACTCCTCAGTTCCTTCTTTGATCACTCCCCTCAAGCCTTCCCCAGAAGAAAACAAAGTGACCTCCTCTCTGAAGTCAATATCTTGATGCTTTCTCAGTGGAGAAAGGTGCAGCAACAGCACCAATCACAATCAAAGATACAAGATTCTCAATAAGATAGGTACTTTCTATTCTTAGTGTTGGTTAGCACCCTTGAGCCATTTCCGGCTTTCAAACTGTTAAGTCTGGCCAAAGTCTAGACCAAAGAAAAGATTATTTTTAGATATTTTCAGTTTTACTAAAAAGCAAGCTTTTAATAGGCTTTCACAGAGGGAGCATCTGGATTGGTGAAAACAGATTCGTTTGAGTATTTGAGGAAAAACGCTGGCTGGGGGGATGAACTGAGGAATAAAATCTGAAAGAAGAGGTCTCAGGTGAACAGCGGGGAAACCGGGCTGGTTCCCAGGTCAACCAAATAAAGAAGCAGGATTAAGGGATTCTCAATCACCCTGGACATTTGAATGTTTGTTATTTTGTTTTCCTGCATTCATAGATTTAAAATGGGAAAGGTCTTGGACACTGAGTTCAGCCCTCATTTTAGAGAGGAGAAAAATGAGCCCCTGAGTGGGGTCTTGGTCAAGGTCATCCAGGAAGTAAGTAAGGAGTCACATTGGGTCTCTGACACCAAATCCAGGCCTTTTCTTAGTGCCTCTGTAGTGTAGTGTATTAAGTTCTTTTTAAAAAGGGAGCTGAGAAGTGGGTTGTAGGAGGGGACAGTGACCAAGTCCAGAAAGTCAAAAGGAAGGAAATGGAGGAGAAGAATGAAAATGGGCCAGCCTGAGCCCCATCCCAAAATGGAGGTACCAGGAGGGCCTCACCAATGGGGGAAATGGGAGGAAAATGATAAATAGCAAGAGAAGGAAAGTGCTTTCAAAGATTGCCTGTGAGCTGTAACTTAAACACTACGGTCTCTTTTCCGCCCTTGTTCTCTCTTCTACTGCACTCAACTCCTTGAATTTTCCTGGATATTCTTTCTTGCTTTGTCTTCCAGGACCCTACTCTCTCCTGGTTCTCTTTGTAACTATCTGACTATTTAGCTTTTTCTTATTCTTCTCCGATGGTTGATCACAATTCCCCCATCCCCTAGGTGATCCTGGGCAGGTCACTTAGCTTCTGTTTGCCTCAGTTTTCTCAGCTGTAAAATGGGGATAGGAATAATAATAGCATTTACTTCCCAGGGTTGTTGTAAAGATCAAATGAGACAATACTGATAAAATGCTTAGCATGGTGTCTGGTACACAGTAGACACTATGCAAATGCTAGTTCCCTTCCTTCCTTTCTATCTATCCCCTGGCACTTTTCTCTTTTTTCTTTATATTATAACCTCTTCTTGAGAAATCTTACTTCCTCTCAAGGATTTAATTATCAGTTACCTCTATGCCACTGACTCTCAAATCTACATATTGAAGTGTAATCTCTCTCCTGAGTTTCATTCAAGCTTACATCTGTTTGCAGAATGTCTCTGTCTAGATGTCCCACTAGAATCTCAAGCTTAACATGACTAACACTGAACTGACCATCTTCCCAACCCTCAGCTTACCTCCTTCTACAGATGGCACTACCATCCTCCTGGTCACCCAGGTTACCTCAGTTATCTTTGACTCTTCCTTCTCTTCTCTTTGGCTATATTCAATCGGTTTCCAAACCCTGTCTACTCTATTTCCACAGTATCTTTCACATCCACCCTCTTCTCTCCATTCAAACTGTCACTACCCTGGTTCAAGCCTAGTCTTTTTTTGTCTGGATTATCCCAAGAGCCCTCTAACTGGTCTTTCTGCCTCCAATCCATCCAGTCTCCAAAATATTCTTTTAAAAATTATTTTATTTTGATTTATCAACTCTCACTTCCATAAACTTTTGAATTTTAAATTTTTCTCCCCCTCCTTCCTCACCTCCCTCCCCAAGACCACACGCAATTTGATATACGCTATACATTCCTATCGAACATATTTTCACATTACTGATGTTGTAAGTAAGAATTAGAACCAATAGGAGGAACCATCAGAAAGAGGAAACAAAACAACAGAAGAAAACAAATAGCAAATAGTATGCTTCCATCTGCATTCAAACTCCATAGTTCTTTCTTTGGATGTGGATAGCATTTTCTGTCATGAGACCTTTGGAGATGTCTTAGATCCTCGCATTGCTGAGAAGCGTTAAGTCTATCCATATTAGTCATCACATAACGTGGCTGTTATTGTGTACAATGTTCTCCTGGTTCTGCTCACTTCACTCAGCATCAGACCATACAAGTCTTCCCAGGTTTTTCTGAAGTCTGCCTGTTCATCATTTCTTATAGCACAACAGTGTTCCATTACATTCATATACCACAACTTGTTCAGCCATTCCCCAATTGATGGGCATTTCCCCAATTTCCAATTCTTTGTCACAACAAAAAAAGAGCTGCTATAAATATTTTTGTAGATGTGGGTTCTTTTCCCATTTGTATGATCTCTTTGGGACAAAATATTCTTCAAGCAGCTGCCAAAGTCATTTTCTTAATGCACAAGTCTGACCATGTCACTTTCCCATACTCAGACACTTCTAGTGTATCCTTACGGCTCAAAGGATAAAACAAAAGCTCCTCAGCCTAGCACTCACAGCTTTCTGTAATGTGGCTCTAAGTTTCCATTAGCCTTATTTCATATTACTCATTTTCATACTATTTTGAGCCAAACCAAAATGACTAATTGTTCCCTGAACTTAACATATCATCTCCTACCTTCATGCATTTTTCTGCAGGCTAATCCAAGGCCTGGAATGTACTCCTGCCTCATCTCTGCAGGCCATCTCCAGTCATGCTGTCTCCACTCAACTCCTCTCGGGTCATCATCTCTACTCCCTCCCCACCGGAAAGCTAGACTGCATCCCTGAAACCACCCTAAGCTTAAAGAGGTCAATTCTGGCCTTGTCTTATCTTGAACATCTCCAGGTATGACACCCTCATCCCCCTCTCCTGCCCTCTCCCTTTCATGTGTTATATTCTCTCATTAGAATGTAAGTTCTTTGAAATCAGGGATTGTCTTTATTCGTAAACAATTAGCAGAGTTCATGCTAGCACATTACTGGTAAATGCTTAATAAATGCTCACTCACTCTATCTAACGTATCTAACTACCATTCAGACTCTCTTCCTTCAAGGCTCAGCTCAGATGATCCCCTAAAGCTAAAAGTAAGTTTTCCCTCTTCATGTTTTCCTAGTTCATTTTGTCTTGATTTTTCTTTCCCCCATCACACTGGACCATGTAGTAAATTTATCTGTGTGCATGTCTTATCGTCCCAGTAGAATTTAAGATCCTTGGGTGGTGGGGAACTGAGAGGTACTGTCACCTTTCATCTTTGTATGCTTATTACCTACCACAGTGTCCTGTACATAGTAAGAAATTAATATTCATTGATCTGAATGGACTTCAGACAGAGAAGAGAAATATGGAACCTGAGGAAACAAAGTCTATTTGAAGAAATTCAGCTGATTTGGTGAGAGGGGAGATGTCACACTCTAAAAAAGCCTTTCAGTTTATTAGGAAACTGCCCATAACGCTGGGCCATAATTTACTCAAGGTTGTCATTAATAATTCACTTTTAGTTGGGTTTCAGGCACAAATATAAATACTTTTTTTTTGGCCAGGGGTCTCTAACCAGTTGATTGGGAGAGTAGGTAAGAATATTCTGGGAACTGGAAAGGTAGATTCCCTCATTATAAATTAATACAATTCTAATTTATCAGATGTCAACTGTCAACCTATACCAGAGGTTTGGTCTAAGAAACAAACAGAATCAGGTTCCCCCTTAACCAGAGGCTTATTCAAAAAGAACAAACAGAATGGGGTTCACCCATAACCAGAGGTTTGATCAAAGAACAAACAGAATTAGGTTGCATGCACATGATTATTTCTCTCGAAGCTGGAGATGTATATGGGTCCATACACGGGAGTTCATTCGAAAATGAGCTCAAGGAAAGGATAGTTGAAGGGGATCTTATATCCTCAGAGCGATTCCCCCTCCCTTCTCAACTCAGGATGCCTGTCCGCCAAAATTATAATCTCCATATGCATTAACCATAATATGGGAAAGTAATTTCTTAACAGGATAGATTCGTAAAATGAAATGAGAGGTGCCAAAATGTCAAGTGAAATTATAGTTTTCTATAATTTCTATAATTATATATAATTAATATATACATAATAATCGATCATAAACATAACAGTGCTCATAAACAAAAAGGAAGAGGAATGCCATTATTCAAAACAGTGGGTAACAAGGGAGAATCCTAAACAATAAGATAAGGTAGATGTCTGGTAGGCCAGGTCCTTGGCAGAAGAATGTTCCCAGTCAGCAAAATCCAGCAGGAGGGGTTGGGTTCACTCAGAGAACAAAGCATGTCTATTATGCCAGCGCACACAAAGCATTATGGTAGGTTAAGCTCAGAGCGGGTTAAAAATGTCTTTCTCCTGATTGGCTAATCCAGGTGTTAGGCCTTTCTCAGGTGAGGGGGGGCTCAAGCTGGTTTGGTGGGGGGCAAGCTAGTTTAGGACAACCTTAATTTAGTTTCATTAGCAAGAATTAATTCCCTAGAATGTGGTAACTCTAGGAAGAAGTGACAAAATAAAAGTCCTCTACTTGCAAAGCTGAAGACCAGAGCCTAGATCTGTGGTGACTCCCACCAAGAAGATGACACCCTTCAAGGCTCAGCCAACTCAGATCTCTTTCTAATTAACATCTTCTTAACTGTAATATCTGCATGACTCATCAGTTTTTTCATCAAGGCTCCCTTGTAACAGAATTTTGGCCCACCAGTTTAACCAACAGGGTAACACTAGCAAGGAATATGATAAAAAATACAATGAGCCCCTGTAAAGAAAGCTGTATTTTATAAATTCGGGGAATAATATGTGTATACTGTTAAATTATTCTGGTTTCAAGGATTATTTTGTTCAGCTGCTTACATTTTCTTGTCTGTCCTCTAACTGAGCTAGAGTTGGGCTCAGTTATGTTTCTAGTTAGGTAAATGATCATATAGGATGATCATCAAAATGCCAACATAAGGCTTCTTGACCGGTGGGACTGAAAAAGTGGATCAATAAACTAGCTGCTGCAAGACCAAAAGGGTAAACTCCAAATTGAGCTTGGATACATTCGAGACAAAAAAATATTATTCTTATCTAGAGTCATATGAGGGATAAACCTATTGATCCACTCCAGGCACTTGAAGCGATTAAGAGGGCAACTTTAGCCTGGAAAACTGAAAAAGTTTAGGGTGACTATGTCTGGAATGAAGACGGTTTCTTATATACATCTGCCTGGTTATATTATTTCTGTACTTGTTTCTGTACCTTTCCCTCATTAATACTTTAATACTCCTTTTCCTTGTTAACAAACCCTAATAAATGAACTCTAGTGGAGGTGGAGTTCATAATAGTAGGGAGTAGGAGTGCTAGGAAATAAGACCTGGAGAGGGTGGCAGCATCAGAGGCAAGGAGACAGGTGGAGGTCAGGGTTCAGACAAGGCAGAATTCTGAACTGAAGCAGCCAAGCTAGTTCAGGAGCCAGGAATGGCTAAGAAGCTTGGTCCCTTGAGCTCGAGTACAGGAATAAGAAGGCTTACTAAAGGGGGCAAGGTGAAAGAGCTCTGGAAATGGCAGGATCTTTTTGGAGAACAATGTGACAGTACAATACAAAAGTATACCCTTTCCCCCAGTAATCCTGTCATTGGGACAAACTGTATGCCTGCAGAATATTATCAAAAAGAAAAAAAAAGTTTGTTATGCAAAGACAGCATTATTTCTTATTGCAAAACCTGTAAAGCCTTTGTTGCTGTGGTCTCCTGATTTCCTAGATACCGCATGCAGGTTTCTAATTCTATTTTTATCTTCCAAGCTACTTTCAGCCCTTGGTTTCTATTCCTTCTCTCCATCATTATGCTTATTTAACTTTTCATGTGTCTAGGTCATTTTTTCACAGGCTGTCATGGCTAAAGAATTCATCAGTAAGTGGACAGCCCACTGATGATGAGCTTTTCCATACTTAGCAACACTGGTCTTTAGAAAAGAGACATATTCTACTGCCAGGACTGGACTATAGTCCTTGGTGTATTTCTTCTGGGAAATGGTGCTGTGCTTTTAATTAAGTCATGCTTCTCTCTAAAACAGGCACCTACCTTTTTTTTTTTAAACATCACTATTTCTCTTATGTTGATGAGAGAGGCTGTGAGTTATAGAATTGTAATCTTCACTCATTAAACAGTATCTACTATGTGCTACCCACTGCAGATACAAAGACAAAAATGAAAACAGTTCTTGTCCTCAAGAAGCTTATATTCTACTAGAAGAAAACAACATGTATATAGAAAATTAAATACAAAATATATAAAGTAATTTCTGGGGGCAGGACACTAGCAATGTGTGTGGCAGAGATCAGGATTAGCCTCAGGTACAGCAGGAGGTGACACTTGAATTGCATTCTAAAGCAAGCTATTATAAGGCAGAAGTTTGTAGGGACTTCAATGAAGGCATAGGAGAGAACCCATGCAAAGGCACAGAGATGGGAAAGAGAATGTCATCTATGGGAACAACAAATGAGTCCATTTGGGAACACAAAGTGTGTGTAATGTGAGTAATGTGCAATAAGCCAGGAAGGGTAGAGTGGAGCCACATTGTGAAGGTTTTTCCATGCCTTTAAAGACTTCCAGCCTTGTGGGTGGGTTCCTTCTGAAAGATTCATGGGAGCACATGAACAGAAGTTGCCGAGAATGAGCTGGCATGGATGGTTTGCCACCTGCATTTTTGGAGGAGAACCCGCATTCATGAGATAAGTCAAAGATCCATCAAAGTTTTGACGTGTAAAATACAAAAATGTAAATTTTATCTCCCAAACTGGACTGTAAGGTCCATGTGGACAGGGCCCAGATATTATTCTTCTATGTATTCACCAAAACTCACCCAGGCCTGCACACACAGTGGATACCCTGCAATATTTATGGTTAAAAGGATGTTGCAAAAGCAGCATCAACCTGCATATCAAACTGAAGGATTAGGGGTGATGCCCACTGCTCCCAGATCTGCTGTAGACATCTGTGACAGCTAGCTCCTTGAACAACTTCTTAGGAGTCACCACGTATACAACGTACTGATGATCGCTGATAAAGATGTTCCACTTCCTCACTGTCAGCAGGCAATGTCCTCTGTATTGTGTTTCCAAGAGTTAGGAGGGACGTGCACTCAGCCAGCTACTGGGGCTTATCCTTTTTTGCATCATGGTTCCCTTTGGTAGTCTGGAAAAGCCCATGACGCCCCTTCTCAGGATATTTTGAAATGCATAAAATAAAATACATAGGATTACAAAGGAAACCAATCATATTGAAACATAATCATCAAAATTTTAAAAAGTTAATGGATACCAGATTATGACCCTCTGATCTACACTCTTTCATGCAGTCCTCCTGTGTCAGGAGATTGGAATATCATAGGGTTAGGAGGAAAAGAGCTACCCTCATTTATGCAGGAATTACCCAGGGTCACATCGCCTTCGTGGCTGGAAAGCAGCACAAGTGGGGAATAAATTATTTCAATTTTGTGTGAATATTTAAGGGTGCCAGAAAGTAGGCAGATAGCTAGGATGGCATTGGTACTGAGAATATTTAAGCATGGTAAGAGAGTCAGTGGCTAGGGTGAATTGTGCCTTATTTGATGTGAGGACTAAGAGGAAGGAGTGGGGTAATCTGGAGACCCACAGGAAACATCTTACCTAAATCATAGCAGAGCTGAACTTGCTGCAGTTCCACAAAGAAGCACGCCTGGAGGAAGAAGGGATGCCCTGGGTAATCACACATTTGCAAAACACCAGCAAGGTGCTAGTGAGTTATTCAGTTTGTGGCTATGGAGCAGAGTGAAACTAAGAAGCTCATAAATAGGGACTGATCCTGCAGTCATGACCTTATCAGCATCGTACGCAACAGAACTGAACTCAACTAACTATCACCAGCTCTCAGCCACAGGTCCGCGAAGTTCATATGAGATAATGAATGTAAAGTACTTTGCAAACCTTTAAGTATTACATATACATACCATTTATTGTCGTTGTTATTATCGGTCTATAGTTTCCAGGCCCTGAGTCCAGTGATGACTTTATTCTGAACCTTGTACTGCACTCCCAGGGAGCTCAAGCTATACATATGCAACAATACAAGGATAAGCTGCTAAACGTTTCACAACTGGGCTCCTTGGCTGGAAAAATATGTGAACACATGTTTTTAAGCTTAATCTGCATTATAATACTTTCTTAAGTCTAGACAATTAACAAAACAATAAATCAAGCCCTCATTTGTGGCAGACGCTGATTTCCAAGGTGTAAATGCTCATGCTGATAATTTAATAACCAGCTTGGTTAGTCAGAGCTCGCTCCAGCACATCCCTGATAGACATTAAACAGAAAGACAAGATCACCACTAATGTAGTTGTAGACTGCCTGGCCTGAATCTATGCTTACTCCAACACAGCTTCTCTTTCAGGACTCAATGCAGGTGAAAAATGGACAAAATGAAACCTCACCAGACACTCTCTCGTGATCTGAAATGGGGCACTCACCAACAGTGTGGGCGTAATCATTCTAAGGACAACGAATGTGATAAAGCTCAGGATTGCTATAAAACAACGTAATCAAGGACAGTGGAAAAGGCCAGCTTGGCAGACAACAGTCAGAGCTGGCACATAAATTAGGACGGACTGTGTGGTGGAAGGAGCACCGGACGCTGAGCCAGAAGACCTGGATTTGATTCTCAGCTCTGACACTATGTGACTTGGGGCAGGTGCCAACTTTTCGGTGCCCTAGATTCATCTGTAAAATGGGAATAGTACTACACTATTCCTCATGCAAAGGTTGTTCCGTGAAAGAGGAACCAGATGAAGAAACCAAGAAACTTATCACAAACACAGCATGAAAGCATGATATTATAATGATGGAGGACCTGAAGTATCTAGAATTATTCAGGGGGTCTCTCTCTATCAAAACCAGAGCAGCTGACAAACTGGTGACCTACTTCTTTCAAAAGGTGGAAGAAGCAACAAAGGGAACTACTAGTCTAGGCCTAATTCTAATCAACAAGGAGAAACTAGTAGTTGAAGTAGAAACCATAGGAATCTTGAAGGATAGTGACCATTCAACAATACAGTTTGTGATAGATAAAAGCCAGGACAATAAGATTTTCAGAGAACAAATTTCAAAGGATTCAGAAAATTTGTAGCTAAGACCCAACAGTTGCTGACAAACTAGAACAATGATTTGTATTAAATAAGATGAAATATAATGGATTAATGTAAAGTTCCACATTGGGTTCAATCAAATGGGGAAGTTGTGGCTAGACAACAATTTCTGTGAAAAAGATATGGCGGTTTCAGTGCAAGCTCAATACGAGATAGCAGTCCAAAAAAACAAAACAAAACACAACCCCTTAATGTTTTCCTAGGCTGCAGGGAGACACAGATTGTCTTTTCACCTCACACACAACTCCATAAATCTATATAGGTATGTCTAACTTTATGAAATGGCTACTTGGTAACAAAACAGCTTTTTTATATGGATGCTATACTACTTACTTCTGATATATTTTAAATGTGTATTATTTATTAAATGTTCACCTATGTAGGACTCAGCACTATACTAAAATGTTCTCATCCTTTCCAAGAGAACAATTCATCTCTTTCTTATCCCTGATCTGACACCTAAATTTAAGACCATTGATATTAAATGCTCCTGAACAGTCTAATCTTAATCTTCTATTTCCTGAACTACTACTTAAAATCTATCTCCTTGTGCCTGGTAGTTGACAAATCTCTCTTTTACGTTATCCCATAAGAAAGGTGCTTGCTAATAGTGGGATTCCTGCCAGTGGTATTTTGTTAAGACTATCTTTTAAAGATTCTGAATGACAGGGCAGAGACTAAATTTTATATCAGATGAAATAATTCTCATATAATGATGTCCTGATTAATTAATTCTCCACGAATAACACTAATTTTTCACAAAACTTGTCTAGACATTAAGGGTGCAGGTGTGAGCTGTGGTTCCCTTGGCTCTAGGTCACCATCTCAGGTTCAGGCCTCTCCAGGATAGGCCAAAGCTTAGGCCTCACTGATGCAAAAGCAGTCCTCCCTGCACCCAAAGGGTTTAGTAACAGCTAAATGGGAGAGATGCTGCCTGAGCCGTGGACATATGCAGCCTCTGTGTCATTAGGTAGGAGACTGTCTTGAGAGAGGGGACAAAAAAGGGGCTATACTAGGGTATGCTAAGGGGGTGATTCACATTCCATGGAAGGCATTTCTGTGCCTCCTATATTATGTCAGTGTCTGATAACAAATTGTACTTACTGGCAGAATGTGCCCTCTTTGTTAAGAGGGGCATTGCTAATACAGTACCAAGAACAGGGTCATACTCACAAGTTCTCAATAAATGCTATGGAATAGACATGCTAATAGCTTACATTTATAAAGCTCTTTAAAGTTTATAATACCTTACATATGTTATCTTATTTCTATGACAGATATTGCAAATATTATCATCTTCCCTTTTTACAGAGGAAAACAGAGCCTCAGTTTCCCTAAGTGACCAGCCCACAGCCAAACAGCTAGGGAGTGGCAGAGGTATGTATGACTTACACTCAGGTCTCCTAACTCTTACTACTGGATCACAATTCCTCACTACTGCCTCTCATTAAGCTTACATGCTTCACCAGTTATGGTTAGGTTCATGCCTCCAAGTACAACTTTCATGATCTTCAAATGCATCACTGTTCCCCACCTGTTAGGGTAAAAGTTGGCAAAGGGCCTCTGTCCATCTGGCAGGGATTTCCCTCCAAGCAGCCCAGTGTTTAGAAAATAGAGTGGACAAATAACCAGCACTTCAGTTGCTATTCCCATAAGTAAACAGCAAGGGAGAGGTATCCAGTTAGAACACACTGGAGCATTTCAAATGAGACACTCCCCATAGCAAACACTAAGAACACTACAGTTTAAAACAAAAGGCAAATGACAGTGATAAGCCAGCAACACTGAGAGTTAATTGTGAATAATAAACTCCTAACAATGAATCCAATGTATCTACCAGGAAAACACATGCCATTAATGCCTTATCCCTCATGTGCACTCTCCGTAACTGTGTGGGGCCAGCTCCCACACGGCGACCTGTGGAATGCTGGGGCCAGGGCTGTGGCACAGATAGACATACAGTGGATTAGACAAAACCGTGGGCCCAAGGGACATTCCTCTCCTCCCCCATCTTCTTTGACACTGGTAAATCTCTCTGAGCTTTGGTATAATGCTTATTTTTAAGGCCACATTAAATACAGATAAAAAGCAACTTTCTTGTTGCTTCTTCAAACATGATCCATGAGATGATGCAAAATATGCCCCACTTCTGCTATTATGTTATCCATATGAGCTGGCTGTATGTGTCTACTTGCTTTCACTTGCAAGCCCTTAACCAAGTCCCAAGCCTCCTGCCCCAGCAGAGAACAGATTTAGAGGATTCCTGGGCTGAAGCAGGTTTACCACAGATTGAATGATTTTTCCTTTCTTGATGCCCTGTCTAGAACATTAGCCTCAGACTAAAGGTGGAAGAAACCTTAGAGATTAACCAGTCCCACTTCCTCATCCTGGAGCTGAGCAAACAGAAACAAAGTGAAATAACCTGCTCAAGGTCTAGCTCACCCTTCCTGTGAACCTGGGCTTCTCATCCGTCTGATGATTTCTGACTCATTGCTTCACTCTGACCTTTGATCCATCCACAATTCTGAAATTCTGGCTACCTGCCTGGCTGGTGACCCAGGACCTGGCCTAAATCCTTATCATGTACACTTCTCCGGCTCTACTGGACCATGATTCCTGCTTTGTTTCTCAGCTAAAATGATTTTGTTTATGGGGGGGAGGGGGAAATCTTTGCATCAAATAACTCTGATAATAGAATTATATGTAAAGAATAAACACAAATAAAGAGGCATTCTCTAAAAGGTAAGAAGCTGAAGGCTCTGAATAATTCTCATAAGGGATGCAAATTATTAATAACCATATACAAGAATTCCCTAAATAATAAGATAATAAGAGAAATGCAATTCAAAATAACTCTAAGGTTTCACTTCACTCTCAGAAAATTGGCAAAGATGACAAAAAGACAGAAATAATGTTGGAAGGGCTGCAGGAAGATAGGCACACTGATATACTGCTGTCAGGGCTATTAACTGGTTCAATCATTCCAGGATAAAAATTGAAATTATGCAAAAAAGTGACTAAACTGTTTAATCATATCCTTTGACACAAGATCCAGTTCCTAGGCATATGGCCTGAGGTCTAAGACAAAAAGGTTATATGTATGGATATGTATACATGTATGTATATGTAGATATGTGTATATGTGTATTGCTTTTTTTGTGGTAGAAAAAAAAACCCAGGAAACACAATGTGTGCCCATCAATTAGTTTCATCTCTTGAGAAGAGGGCTGAAAAAGATGAACTTTTAGGTCCCCTCCAATTCTATTAGTTTTTTACATGCTGAGTCTGAGGTGCCAGAAATAAGGAAACTACAGTTCAGGGAAAGAATGCTGGGAGAATTATAGATTTAGGGGTCAACTATCTTTGAAAACAGAATCCTCTGGGAATAGGTGAGACAGTCAAGGGATAAATGAAGGAATTGGATTAAATAATATTTAAGGTTCCTTCCAATTCTAAGTTCTATGATCCTCTGAAATGAAGGACTGGAGGTTAAGGGAGAGGTCAGAATGGGAGATTTGGGAATCATCTGACTAAGAAGGATCACAACCCATAGGAGCCAATGAAATCACTAAAAGAAAGAGAGGGGAGGGAGAGAGAACAAGTGAGGGAAGAAGGGACATAGAGACAGGGAAGTGGAGGAGAGGGAAAGAGGGGGAGGGAGAAGGAAAGGGGGGAGAGGAGAAGGAGAGAGGGAGGGAGAGAGAGAGAGGTAAAGAGGGAGAGAGGTAAAAAGAGAAAGTGGGACGGAGGGTAAAGATCCAGGGCAGATAACTAGGGGTAGAAAATGACAGATAAGAAGCTGTTTTTCTCTTTGCTTGTGGTATATCAAGAAATGACTGTTCGGCAGAAACAAAAATCACCGATAAAACCTAAGAAGTAGTAACACAAAGGGTGAGGGAGGATAGAAATAGAGCAGCAAAAAAAAAAAGAAAGAAAGAAAGAAAAAAAAGTCATCGAGCCATCTTTTAAAAACAACCACAACAATAGCTAGTATTTATAGAGCAATGAGTGTCACCACAGCTTGGTCAAGTGGGAAGCACGACCACCCCCACTTTACAAATGAAGAAAGTGAGGCAGAGAGAGAGCTTAATGAGTAGCCCAGCTCAGAAGCCTTGCCTCCAGCTGAGGCATCCACTGTACCTCCTGGCTAGTTTTCTACAAATGCTGAGAAGTGAACGGAAGGTCGGCCAGGAAGGAGCACAGACAAGCAGGGCAGCTTTGAAAGTGACAAGCCGACCTTGCTGCATCCTTAGAAAAGAAAAGCCAGCTGCACCAAGTGGAGCTCTGCAATGTCACGCACAATGCTCTTTTTTTCTTTTTTCTCCTGTTCTACTAGGGATACAGAAGAGCCATTTTTATCTGATGCGTGTTAAATTCTAAATAAAAATAAATATATTTTTTAAAAATTACAGCAGTTAGAGTATTAGAAGGTGCATTGGAAGGGAGCAGGGTCATAGGATATTAGAATAGGGGCTGGAACGGGCCTTAGTGGTCATCGAACCCAACGCCCTCATTTGACAGAAGAAACTGAGGCCTGGAGAAGGAAGGGACTCGGACCCAAAACCCAGTAGGTGGGATTCGAACTAGAGTCCGAAGACTCCATATCTGGCCCAGGGGCGGAGTTGAAAGGTGGGTGGGATGGACTTGAAGGGGAAGGATTGCCTCACTCTCTTTGCCCTCCCCCACCCCAGGCCCCTCCTTACCTGAGGTAGGAACCGCACCTGCCCTACAGTGGGAGCCGCTGGCCAAAGCGAGGCAAGTCACGTGACAGCCTCCGCCCCGCCTCCAGGGGGCGCTAGGGCGGCTCCAACAACTCCCTGGGGAGTGGGGACAGGGGAGACTCATTCTCAGGCTGAGAAAGAACAGCTTCTCTTCGGGGCTTCTTCCGGCCTGTGAAGCCCAAATGATTCTGTTCACGGTCCCTACTTGACCACCACGAGGCTCTGTGGGGATCTTGCGTTAAATAAGAGCCGCTTCCTGGGTAATTCCTCCCCCACCTTGGGAGAGTGGAACATTCCATCAAACCCCCACACCAGCGAGGACTCTAGTCTTTAACCCTTTGTGCCCCTCCTTGCATCAATCTGTCAATCAACTAGCGTTTCTTAAGCGCCCGCTATGTGGGCCGGGCTTTCTGCTAGGGATATAAATAGGAAAGTGAGTCAGTGCCTTGCCTTCAAGGAGTTTACATTCTACAAATGTTATTTTATAATCTAACATTAATATAACATTACAAATGTTTTATACAGTATTGTAATATGTTCATAGGGAAGTAAACACAGGATGGATGCAAAATAAATACAGAGTAATGGGGGTAGGGAAGGGTATTAGCAACTGGATGAAAGGAGGTGGTGCTTGAACTCAGCCCGGAAGGGAACTACGTCTTCCAAGCGTTTGAGATGAGGAAGGATGTCATTTTAGGCACCGAAGATAGCCTATGCAAGGGCATAGAAGCAGAAGGTGGGATGCCCTTTACAGGGAACAGCAAGTAGGTCAGTACCTGGCCGGAATCTGGAGTGCTTTGGGGAAATAATGAGTAATTTTGTTGTTCAGTCGTGTCTGACTCTTCAAGACCCTATTTGGAATTTTCTTGGCAAAGACACTGGAGTGGTTTGCCATTTTCTTCTCCAGCTCAATGTACAGATGAGGAACTGAGGCAAACTGGGTCAAGTGATTTGCCCAGAGTCACACAGCTATCAAATGTCTGAGGCTAGATTTGAATTCAGGAAGATGAGTCTTGAGTTAAGGCCTGGAACTCTACCCAAGCTGGGTTAATAGGTAATTAGCCCAGAAAAATAGCCTGCAGACTAATTATGAAAGGCTTTAAATGCCAATATCTTCAGCAACATTGGAGGTCATCAGTCCCACCCAAAGTGAACAGGAATCCTTTCTACTGAAGAATTTGCTTACATTTATGTAGCACTTAAACGCTTATAAAACACTTTACACATAGTGTCTGGCAAATAGAGGGTACTTAATAAGTGCATATTGCTTCACTGATCTTTACCACAGACATTTAAACTACAAGTTATTATTACTCCCATTTTACTTGTAGGTAAGTCAGTTGAGTTGATTAATTATCTTACTTAGTAACTAACTCTAGCTTTGATACATTTATCATATGAAAACGCCTCTATTCAATCAGTTGATCCATCAATCAAAGACATTAAACTAATGTGAGCCCAGTCAACCCCAGTGGGAATGTATATTAAAAAAGCAAGTTAGCTCCAAAACCAGACATTTGAGCGTTTGACTGCTTAAAGGAGAGAGAGAGCAATTTCAGCCAAGGCACTGAGAGGGAATTACTTGGGGGGTGAAGGTGGAGAAAGGCCTCTGTCTCTTCCTCCTCCATGAGATTTCAGAGGTTCAGAGGATTTAGACTTCCTGATGGTATTCTAACATCATCCCTGGGGAAAGTCTCAGTTGGTGGAAGTATGTGCATTGGGAGATGAGGGCAAACTAGGAAACACAGCTTCAAGACTCTATGAGGAATCCAGAAAAACAACAACAGAACTGTATCTATGGGGAACCACACAAGGACACAACAAAAGAGAGAAAAAGACCTCTAGTTACACCTTTTGCTACATGTGCTTTAAGCTGGGGCCCACTTTCTCCTGGACTCTCTATGTATTTATGAGAAAGTGCTTCACAGACTTTTAGAGGGATGTCATATACTAACCATTCTTATTCTATCACAGTAGTAAATTCCCTTTACTAAAAGCTAATAAGTCTGACTGATTAATTGATATCAACTGAAAAATCAATGAGGGAAGCAAGTCAGTGTGGGGTGGGGAAAGATGAGCTATAGTATTAAAAAAACACCCTTCCCTTCAGTTCCTCAGAGCTCCCTAGAATCCTCAGAGGAGAAGTGTTAGCTACACTCAGAGGATGCAGCCCAGATCAGGTGCCAAATACAGATGAGGAAACCAAGGCTCAGAAAGGTTAAAGGACTTATTTATGGTCATACAGCTACGATGTATGTTGGTACTTGTATATGTACACATGTATATAGCTAGTAAATATGAGAGATGAACTGCAAACACTGACTTCAGTTTTAACATACTATGCATTACATCGCACTTCTTCTCATCCCTTACCCCGCTGAAAGAAACTAACTCTAGTTGTGATACAGAACTTTGTCAGGTAAGAACACCTCTTGGTAAGTGAATAAAACAGCAGTCTAGCTCCAACCCGTCCCTGACTCCGAGCAAGTCACTGAACCTGTCATTGCTCTGGGCAACTTGTCTCTAAGACTATAGATTGTAGAGGTGCTCATTCACATGGGTAGAGGGAATTTCCTCATCATTTGGAAGTCCCCTATATCAGTGAGATCACAGGTCCTGTCTCTATACCTACTTAATCCTTTGAAAAGTTTTTCTTTCTATCTTTTCTACAAATCCCCTCTTCTGCTTCTCATTCTGCCTTCAGAGGCCAAACAGAGAAAGTGTAATCTCTCTTTCACAAGGCAGCCCTTCAAATACTTGAAGAAAGCCATTATGTTTCTTCTGTTTTCTCCTTTCTAGGCTATTCATCCCCAGTTCCTTCAACCAAACCTTGCCTGGCTCTGTCTCCAGCCTTCTCACCGTGCTGATTGCCATCCTCTGGATGCACTTCAGTTTGTCAGGATCCTGCCTAAAATGAAGTGCTCTGAACTGAACACAAT